TCTACGATCATTGGCGATATTCCTATCATTGGTCGCCTCCCAATGACCCAGTGGCTTCCCTTCCCATGGGAAATTCCGACGTGCAAGACGTCACTCATCCCACCTCACAGCATATCACGAACTTATTTGGAACTTCGTATTACGCCGCTCGAAGCAGTCATTATGATCCAGGGTCGGCTAGCATAGATCTTGGGTCCTCTCGGCGCCTTGTGGATTTGCAGAGACAGGATTTGCACTGTCATACACCAGTACAGGCTGTGGGAAGCGCCTAAAGAGTACGGTTTGGACGGAGAGGAATTATAATATGTCGATGAAGACAATTCCTAGATTACTTGGGTGCAATGAATATTACAGTTGAATCTAAGCTCAATGTGGGTTGGTCAACGATAAGCGTGCAGAAACCTTCGTTCAAAGCAACACCGGGAGTGATAATTGCCTTTTCAGATAAAGGCACGAGCCACATGCGCGAGAAGTTGTTGATGAGCGGTCTCGACTGGGAAAAGTATGCCAGACTCCATCCCCACCCCTAAAGAAGAAATGAGTACGGCAGCTTTTGAAACCGGTATACCTACGTACTTCTCCGAGATCCATCTGTTTGATCAATTCAGACACTTTCCTATCGAGCAATATTCCGTCGTATATTTTGTTTCCATTCGTATCCTCCTCAAAGACTGTTGTTTCGTTATATTGTGCCTTGGGTGGCTTTGGAGTAGCTTCGGTAATCATATTCTTGATTTGTTGGCGCAGACTCTCCGCCGCGGGAGAGAGTTGGTGGTGGTTCATCGAGAGGTAAACAGTCGCGCGACTTCGTTCCTTTATCACAGCCAGCAAGCCTTCGCGTGGAGAAATGCTATTAACACTAGAATTCCATTAAGAGATTTCGACTTTTTGGTGTGGCTACATGGGTTTTCGGTTGATAAAAGATCAGTGGAATAGGAGGGGTTTGGGAGGGGTATCGTCAAGTCAGTGATTCAAGTTGGGTAGAAAGTCATGTGATGATCAGCGTTGGATTCTTCGAGCCTTGCGGCCTGTTCTCATAGGCATCGATGTCAAAAACCTCAAATACGGCCTCCCTAGGCCATAAACAGGAACCTTGGTTTTTGTTATGGTCTAGTGGAAAAGTACGCTGTATTTCGTTCAACAATCGAGTTTGGCTGGAACTTGACTGGTCATGTGACGTGGCTCTATAGTTATTCACTGCAACTTCCACGGTGCATTCTCCATTCATTTCATGGTACCATCAAAATGTCACTTTACCTCTGGCACTGTTACTCCGCTTTGCGGGTGGCCTGTCAATCCTTTATTGAAGGCACATTCGGTATCTTGTCTGGTATCTTTCCGCTATTCATCAAAATCTATCCATTCAACCCTCAGAAAGCCAATGATCTTGAGTCCAATAATATGGTCGGAGCTCCCTCGAGAACATCGGACCACGTCATCTATACCATACGACCACTGTTTCAGTCTGATCTGAAAATGGTGGGCATAGGAGCTTCCGGTCAAGTCTACGAGGTTGATGAGGAGATAGTCCTCAAGAGTTGTCGCATTTTTGAACAACCAGGGAGCGATGCCTCTGATAGCGACCGGTACCACTATGCCTCGGACACCATTTTTCACTCTAGCTTGTTGCAAGATGAACGGTATGTTTTACGACTACTTCAACAGTGGCCACATCCTCATATCGTCGAAGCTATCGACACCGATCGAGCCGAGGGGATATTTCTCCGCAGATATCAGCCCTTGCCGGAGGGTGAGATACCCTCACAGTCCTCTCGAGTTCGATGGTATCGCGAAATTGCCGACGCTCTTTGCCATCTCCATAGGCTTGGAATTGCTCATGGAGATGTACGGATTGACAATGTTCTTTTCGATAGTCAGGGCTCTGCTGTTCTTTGTGATTTCAGTGCCGCTAGTCCATTTGGTCAATCAAATCTAGTCATTTCGGATCTTCCGCTTCCAGTCAACGGTCCTTCGCCAAATCTGTCTGAGGCAACTGATATGTTTGCAATGGGCTCGCTCCTATTCCAGGTTGAGCATGGAATTAAACCTGAGCTTTCTGTTGACAGGGATGGTAAATTGATTTTGCCTACAATACAGACGAATCACCAAGGCATTGATACTATTATCCGAAACGCTTGGCTTGGACACTATAGCAGCACCTCGCAGATGCTAGAGAACCTTCATTCACTTGACGTTTAAATTGGCCAAGGTGTTCATGATACCCAAATACACTCAGAGCCAGTTGCTTCATTGAGGGAGCGGGTCAGAGCATGGAGAAAAAGACGTGAGAACAACATTGGTAAGAATCGCCCATTAGATGATCTCCCCATCCTTGATAACTAACATTATCTTTAGGCTGCGTACTCGATGGCATACTCTCAGGAAATCAGTTGCAAGTACTGGCAGATTGCTATGGGTTGGACAAAGATGCCGAATTACGTTTTGCTAGCTATGATGTATGCATGCATGGGAACTAAATGTAGATTTACCCTCAGCATAGATGGTTCTGTTTGTCAGGCCTCCAGTGGTTCGTATATAAACATAAACTCCTTGTTGGACGCTCACTTAAATAGTTAACGTAATTCCCAAGCGAGCTGGCCACCCCAACCAGCCTTTTAATTTTAAACGCATTTATTTCAACCAAAACTCCATTAAATTCAATCAGCTAAATTCTAGGTCTATCTGGACAAGCATCTCTTCTATGGCCCTGATTTCCACATGCACCGCATTTCGGTAATGCCCTTGTTCTTGGTAATAAAGGTGCTTCCCTGTGCGCGCGGACCTGGGGGCGGGGAGGTTCAATCACTTCCTCTGGTTGCACAATTAAAGCAGTAGCCTCCTGAACTG